GTCCAAAAGGTTTGCGGCCGCTACTCCAGGTAGATATGAGAAGTCCACAACATAAGAGAGTAGGTCACCATTAGTGAAGGCCAAGTCAATGCGTGAGGAAGAACCGGAGGCTTGAAAAAGGATTTGGTCAACAGATTCTTCCATCGCCAAAGTTCAGTAATGCTGCCAACTTCCGCCCAGTCCCTGTACACATTAATTAATGGTAAGACCTGCGCATGGAGGTATGCGCACCGCCACGTATATACCTTCATGATCTGATTACACATGTTTAACTGTACAAGGAAAATGTCTGTGTAAAAGGATAGAAACTCCCATAGCATAGGAGGAGTACATAGCACTCTGGATACATTACCTTAGCAATGATAATATTTTATTTCCCAGTAAATGGGTCTCCTGGAGAAAAATAACCTGAGGGTTATAAAAGCGAATAAAACATAAAACCAAGGTTGTTTTAAATTTGGAATTTAAATCCTTAACATTCCAGGAGATAAGTAAGGTTAGCTGACATTTAAGGTTAATATACTGTATATGTAAAGGCCAACAGAATACTGGACATATTGTGAATATACAGAGAGCCATTCAGGTAAGGGTCAAGGTGCAAGAGGAACAATCCCCAAGTAAAGGGTATACAAACATAGACACACACAAACATACCCAGCGAAAAACCTGCCACTCTGGAAAATCAAAACTACAAACTCAGTAGCTTAGAATCCCAGAACAATAAAACACTTCAGGAGTATAACAAAATACTCTATGGGGGTGAGGCAGCTCACACCCAGTAATGAGAGTAGCACATAAATGGTAAACAGATTATAATGTACCTTCTGCAGCTCCCTACAAGGGTAAGCTGCGCCCCCAGCAATTTAAAGTAAACACCCAGCCTAGCCAAGAGTGGGTAAATCAAGCAACATCCCCAATAGCAGGCCAAGTATACAAATACACAGAGGTAAACCAACAAGGAGATCCAAGTCCCCTACCACCTCCCCCCTCAAAGGCCACACAGGTGCCGTAATAGCAGGACAGAGAAGGTAGCAAATAGAACATGTATGTATGTTTATGTATAAATTCACAGGTTAAACTCAGACAACGCAGAGCCTAATAAAACAAACCAAAATAAGTAAACGGAGAGAGTCCAACCAGTCAGAGGCTGCAGACGATGTGTCAAAGAATTTTGTGGATCCTTCAAATTGCACTCTCAATTTACTCGGTTAAAGCATGCTATATTTCAAGCCTTTATGTCTGAGGTGGCGACAAACATCAATAAAGGAGTGCCTTCTCTTCTGCAATTCCAAAGAGAAATCAGAGAAAGGGAGGATAGTGGCATTTCCATAATATAGGGCTTCCTGCTTCCCTCTAGCCATTGCAAGGATCAGATCCCTATCACTGTAATTAAGGAAGGGGACCAGGAAGGGACAAGGCACAGCTTCTGGGGATGTAGGCAGAGGAAACTGATTGCAGATTCAGGAGCTGTTTGAAGAATAGTTACGCAAAATTAGCTGTATCAGAGCCCTCCAGACCCTCAGGTAATCCCACCACATGAACCTTGTTCCGCCAAAGTCTGTTTTCGGCATCCTCCGACCACATGGTAAAAATTTTAACCGTGTGTTGTAGAATGCACATTAGTGCCTGCATTCCGGTCCAGTGCAATCTGCAAAAATAGTGCTTGCAGCATTGTTGTGGATCGCACTGGACTGGAACGCAAGCACTAATGTGCCCTGGTTCTGGGTGCAGACGATCGCACTGTGGGCGAGGGGCCTGCCTGCGGTGCCATTGACTTCAATGCACCGCCACGCCCCATCCTGCCCCTGAATGCAGGTGTTTATTTGTTGGTAGATTGAGCTTGTCATTTGAAAAGTATATGCAGACGAAAAACTGTGGGCGCCCCTGCTCTATGGCTTTTAGGATAGCGTCTGTGGCTTTAGTGGAGTGTTGTACCTGCAAGTCTGAGGTGTGCAGCGGATCCGGAGAGCTAGGCTCAGCATCCATGGCTCCCTACTCAGAGGTCTGTGTGGCTGCGGAGGTGAGAGAGGCAGAGCATGCAGCCAAGATGGCGTTGGTGCATGTGGCGGGATCAGTGCAGAGTCTCCTGATGCCCGGCCGGGTATGCTTAGAGCGTCATTTAGAAGGCATCGGTCAGGTAGTTAGCGGTGCTTGGGACCTGCGGCCGCGCTGGGTGAGGGAGGAGGTCGAATAGACATGCTAAGGAGCAGGATAGATAAAATATACTTTTTTGGCTAGAAAACAGCTTCTGACACCCAAACCATTATATACAGTTGTGTGAAAAAGTGTTGGCCCCCTTCCTGATTTTTCATTGTTTTGCATGTTTGTCACACTTTAATGTTTCAGATCATCAAACAAATTTAAATATTAGTCAAAGATAACACAAGTAAACACTACATGTAGTTTTTAAAGGAAGGTTTTTATTATTAAGGGAAAACAAAGTCCAAACCCACATGGCCCTGTGTGAAAAAGTGTTTGCCCCTCCCCCCCTCTGTTAAAACATAACTTAACCCCTTCATGACTGAGGCCTTTTTTTTTTTCATTTTTTGCACCCATGTTATATTCCACATTTTAGGCCTGAAAATGACTTAAAACCCCCCAACATTATATATTTTCTGAATGCCAAGACCCTATAGAATAAAATGGTGGTAGTTGCAAATTTTTATGTTGCGCAATATTAGCGCAACTCCTTATTAAACCCCAATATTTAGTGAAAAATGTAATTAAATGCCCCAAAACACAACAAAATACCCATTTTTTTAATGAAATATAAAAGATGAGGTTACAACGAGTAAAACGATACCCAACATGCCCAGGTTACAAATTGCGTGCATCCGTAAAACGGCGAAAAACCCCAGTACCCCAAAAAGTCCATAGACGCTTTAAAAGCCCCCACAGGTCATCAATTTAGAGATACCCCAAAATACTGGCCCTAGAATTATTGCTCTCACTCCGGCGTGCGCGGCGATACCCAACATGTGTAGCGCGTTCGTCGTTTTCATACGTAGGCGCACCCGACGCGTGTTTACGAGGCGACGCACATGCTCACGGGGCCGGGGGACTGTAAACATTTTTTTTATTATTATTAGATTTATTTTATCTTAATTTAAAAACCTTTTTTTTTTTTTTACTTTTCTTTGACTGCTATTACATAGGGGGGCTTACAAGCCTGGCTCTGCCTTCAGATAGGCAGAGCCAGCTGTCACTCACGCAGCTGGGCGGATCCAGACATAATTGTCGGGATCCGTTTCAGCTGCGGCGTCTCTGTATACCGCGAGCTGTAGCTCACGGTATACTGAGCTTAGGGTGACAGGAGGACGCTAGTTTGTGTCCACCCGCTACCCTTAGGAGAACTAAAAAGCCCTAACCCCATAGTTCTCCTTTAACTCTGTTTTATCACACCTGAGTTCAATTTCTCTAGCCACACCCAGGCCTGATTACTGTCACACCTGTTTGCAATCAAGAAATCACTTAAATAAGACTTGACTGACAGTGAAGTAGACCAAAAGATCCTCAAAAGCTACACATCATACCGAGATCCAAAGAAATCCAGGAACAAATGAGAAAGAAAGTAATTGAGATCTATCAGTCTGGAAAAGGTTATAAAACCATTTCTAAAGCTTTGGGACTCCAGTGAACCACAGTGAGAGCCATTATCCACAAATGGCGAAATCATGGAACAGTGGTGAACCTTCCCAGGAGTGGGCGGCCAACCAAAGTTACCCCAAGAGCGCAGCGGCGACTCATCCAAGTGGTCACAAAAGTCCCAAAACAACATCCAAAGAACTGCAGGCCTCACTTGCCTCAGGTCAGTGTTCATGACTCCACCATAAGAAAGAGAATGGGCAAAAATGGCCTGCATGGCAGAGTTCCACGACAAAAACCGCTGCTGAGCAAAAAGAACATAAAAGCTTGTCTCCGTTATGCCATAAAACATCTTGATGATCCCCAAGACTTTTTGGAAAATACTATGTGGACTGACGAGACTCAAGTTGAACTTTTTGGAAGGTATGTGTCCCATTACATCTGGCGTAAGAGTAACACCACATTTCAGAAAAAGAACATCATACCAACAGTAAAATATGGTGGTGGTAGGGTGATGGTCTGGGGCTGTTTTGCTGCTTCAGGACCTGGAAGACTTGCTGTGATAACTGGAACCATGAATTCTGCTGTCCTGAAGGATAATGTGCGGCCATCTGTTTGTGACCTCAAGCTGAAGCGAACCTGGGTTCTGCAGCAGGACAATGATCCAAAACCCACCAGCAAGTCCACCTCTGAATGGCTGAAGAAAAAAAAAGACTTTGGAGTGGGCTAGCCAAAGTCCTGACCTGAATCCTATGTTCATGCTGTGGCATGACCTTAAAAAGGCGGTTCATGCTCGAAAACCTTCCATTGTGGCTGAACTACAACAATTCTGCAAAGATGAGTGGACCAAAATTCCTGCACAGTGCTGCAACAGACTCATTGAAAGTTATTGCAAACTCTTGATTGCAGTTCCTGCTGCTAAGGGTGACCCAACCAGTTATTAGGTTTAGGGGCAAACACTTTTTCACACAGGGCCATGTGGGTTTGGATTTTGTTTTCCATTAATAATGACAACCTTCCTTTTGAAAACTGCATGTTGTGGGGACTAAGCTAGGGAATAGACCTGGTCATTTTTTGTTGCAAGTTCAAAGGCTTATTGCAAGTGAATAAACAATTATTATGCAAAGGAGAAATGCTGCATGCAAATTATAGTGTTTGCTAGTAGTAGGGGTGCATGCAGGCCAGAAGTTTCTGCATTCTTCTATGCAATAATTAACCTTTTACAGGCAATGTATGATATGTGCTACTAGTAAACAATATATGTATAGTGTTTTTGCCTATTTTTTTATTTACAGGTACATAGCTTCTCAATTTTGATGAATGAATGTTCACTGCAACTGAAAACATTTATTATTTACTCTATTGTCTACCTATGACCCCATTATTCCTAATGTTTCCTTTTTCATATTTTTTAGGAACACCTATCAACAAAAGACCTGTACTGGGATACAGAAATTTAAACCTTTTCAAATTGTTTCGTCTTGTACATAAACTTGGAGGGTTTAATAATGTAAGTGACGTAGTTTCACTGGTAGCAGGGGACTTGGTTGTTCTATCTGCCTGCTTTGGGAAATCCTAGGGAAAAGCAATTTGATGATAGAATGAAAGTACAAATCAAGAGTGCAACATGATGTGATATGAGGACATGATGATGACCATGCTGTCATTCACTCTGAGTACATGAATGGGCATTGGTTAACAAGCATCAACTGCCTATTCATTTAATTAAATAAAAATAATAGGTAAAATTTAAAAATAAATGTATGCCTTTTCTTTTTTGGATATAGAGTCCAAATACCAACTTGAGAAATGTAAAGACAGTAATAAGCATGTTGCTATTTTTATGTTGCTGTTATTTTAAAAAACATCAATTAAATAAACCAGAACCATATAAGAAAAAGGACATGTATATAAACAGAGTTTGGCGAACACATGAACTGTCAGGGCGTTTGACGGGCTGTTCGCCGGCCGAGTGCCCCGCAAGGCACTGTGGCTTGTAAGCCCTGATTGACTAATGCCTTGCACCTGACCGCAGGTCAGGTGCAAGACTTTGCCCAATCAGGGCACAGAGAACTTTGAGAGCCATGATTGGGCAAAGTAATGATGACTTTGCCCAATCAAGGCTCACCTGTTACAACTGTAAACAGTTGGGCAGAGCTAGCTGTCACTGCTAGCTCCGCCCAATTGTTTATATGTTGCCGACATGTGTTAAAAAAAGCTATGTCGCAGCGGATGGGACGGCGGTCGTCAGGTTTTTAAAAAAATATTTCTATTTCGTTTTTATTGTTTTATTTAGTCGAGTCCTCATCGTCGTGGACAATGCTGGATTACGTCAGTGGATCCATTTTTTTTTTTTAAATAAAAGACTTGTCAAAAACATGTCTTTTTTTTTCTTCAAATAAAGGATTTTTTCAAAAGTTTATTTTTTAAAACACTTATTTAACCTTTATTAAAGGGGTACCCTGATGTTAATAACCCCCTGCCCGCACCCCCACAACCAATGCCTCAGGGATTGTGGGGAAGAGGCCCTTGTCCCCATCGGCACAGGGACAAGGTGCTTTTCCAGGACGCTTTCTTTTTTTTTTAATGGGGTCCCTTCTAACATTCCTACCAGACCTAAAGGGTCTGGTATTGTTTGGAAGGGGGAACTGCACACTTTTTGTTTTCTTTTTAAATGTAATTTTTTTTCTTTACAAATGTCTGTTTTCTCTCCCGTTCATTGAAGGGCACAGGGCAACAGATCGTAGATCCTGAATGGTAGGGTATATCGCCACCTGCAAAAGTAGGACGCTAGGCACATAACAAAAAGACAAGATAGCCTAGGGGTGGCCCCTGCTGGTGGCCCAACCCCTCACTTGCTGACAAGTATCCGTTTTTTTGCCTAGCGTCATGAGTAAGGAGCTAAAAAAAATGTCTCCTCCATTTTTTCCCCGCTGTTTCTTCAAGCAAGTGTCACCAGGGCGACAAGCTGGATGTTTTTAGATCCTTGTAGTCTCTCCTGCGTGACCGCCGAGCGCATGCAGACTCTGCCATGGTAGGTCGGCTGCGACATTCGGTTCCTCTTGACGCCTGCGGGTTCGTCCCAGTGGAGTGCATATGACAGGAGGTCCTGGCCTACCTGTCACAGCACTCCGCGCAGGCTGGCAGCGCCACGACTATGGTCGGGGGCGTTGTGCCCACCGCTCCCTTGCTCGTCCTGGCTGCGGATCCTCGAAGGGCCTGGAGTCTGACCGTTTCCCGGCGGGGGGTATGTATGTGGTGGCGGTGACTGTCGAGGGGATCGTGACATCTTCAGGTGGTAAGATGCTGTGCTGGGCTGCGCTGTTTCTGTCACAGCTGCATCTCCTGGCTGCCTGCCCCCTTCCCTCCTACCTCGTGGTGTTCAGTATTGGGCCTGTATGTGGCTTGGGCTCCTGAGGGGCTAGGGGCTGTCGGGATGTTCTTCTGCAGCGTGTGCAGGCACTACCGCGGCTGACACAGTTTTTGTGGCCTCCAGGCGGCTCTACGGCCGCCATATTGGATGAGGGCAGGCGCCCTTCCTGGCTTGTGGCTGCTTAGGCTTCAGCCCCTGGATGGCGGGGGCTTCTGTGGGGCTTCTGATGGGGGTCTTGGGGAGCTCTGTGGCCTTTAAGGGACGGCCGCATCCGCGGCTGATGCCGCTCTTTCCACGGCCGCTACTCGAGGCCCCGGTCTACCAAGTCCTTTGGAGTCCCTAAGTGTTTCTCTGTTCGCTATCCCTTTGAGGAGGTCTTTGGTCTAAGTGGTCTTCTCTGCCAGTGGTGGACCCCACGGTCTCTCGCTTAAACAAGGTCACGTTCATCCCGGTGGAGGATTCTCCGTCCTTTAAGGATCCCACCGATAGGAAAGCTGAGGAGCTTTCGCGGACTCGGTGCTCAGTCTCACGGTTTTGTCCTTGGTCTCTCAGACTCTGACGGAATGGGCTAAAATTTTTGCACCAGGGTCTTGCGGAGGAGAATGTTTCTCCCGCTTATGTAAAGTTGGTGGACCAGTTGGTGCAAGGCCTTAGGTATGTCTGCTATTTGGCCTTGGATGCGGCGCCGTTGGTGTCCAAGGTGTCGGTGTCAGCTGTGACGCTTTGCCAGTTGCTTTGACTTAAGTGCTGGTCGGCGGATCAGGCTTCCAAGAAGGCTCTGATGGAATTACCTTTTACTGGGAACCGTCTGTTTGGTTCGACCTTGGATGAGATCATTAAGGATCTGACAGGTGGTAAGAGTACCTTTTCTTCCCCAGGAGCAGCGCAGGAAGCCTGGGCCCACCTTCTCCGCTCACAGGCGACTTTTTCGGCCCCCTCCGACAAGGGTGGGAAGTTTAACAAGCCCTCCCCTTCACAATCCTCCAAGCGTCCATGGTAGCCTAAGTCTGTCAAGCCCGCCGGCTAGCCCCAGTCCGCATGAAGGTCGCGCCCCGACTCTGGTTCCTAGGGTGGGGCCCATCCTGGACCTCAAACGCTTGAACACCTTTGTGCGGGTCCGTCGGTTCCGAATGGGGTCGATCAGGTCTGTGGTGGCCTGGCTTCGTCAGGGAGACCTGCTGGCATCCATCAACATCAAGGATGCCTACCTTCATGTACCCGTTTGCGACTATCATCAGCGATATCTTCGTTTCGCGGTGGGGGGGGAGCATTTTCAATTTGTGGCGCTGCCTTTCGTGCTGGCGTCTGCTCCGTGGGTATTCACCAAGGTGCTTGCCCCGACTCTGACGCTGTTGCGTTGTCGGGGGGGGGGGGGTTTCGATTGTGGGCTACCTGGACGATCTGCTTCCGCGGGCAGAGTCGCACTCCTCTCTGGTGACGGCTCTGGAGGTCACGGTGCGGTCCTTGGAGGAGTTCAGTTGGCTCCTGAACCTCCGGAAGTCTTGTCTTGTGCCTTCTCCACACCTGGAGTATCTAGGCCTGGTTCTGGACAATGTCGCAGCACGGGTGTTTCGCCCTCGGGACAAGCTCCTGAAACTTCGCTCCAAAGTACAGCTTCGCCGGTGGTTGTCCTTTCGCTTTTGCATTCAGGTCCTGGGTCTCATGGTGGCCTTTTGTGCAGCACCACACCAGGACCCTGCAGAGGAACATCCTGGTACAGTGGGACACGTCCCCCTATCCTTGGACAGGGAAATTCAGGTGTCTCGGGAGGCGAGAGCCTCCTTGCGGTGGTGGCTTCATTCTCCGGTCTTGTTGCGGGGGAAGTCCTTCCTTCCTGTGCACTGGACGGTGGTCACCACGGATGCCAGCCTTTGGGGCTGGGGTGGAGTCCTGGGGTCGTTGGTCGCCGGAGGAGTCCCAGCTGTCGATAAATGTGTTGGAACTTCGGGCAATTCACCTTTTCTCTCCTTCATTGGTCAACCCGGCTTCAGGATCTGGCGGTTCGGGTCCAGTCGGACAACGCCACCGCGGTGGCATACATCAACCACCAGGGCGGCACAAACAGCGTGGCCGCAGGTCGAGAGGTGTTCGGGATTCTCTCCTGGGCGGAAAATCGAGTCCTGGCTCTCTCGGCGGTCTACATCCCGGGAGTGGACAATTGGCAGGCCGATTACCTCAGTCGACAGTCGGTGGATCCGGGGGAGTGGTCTCTGCACCCGGAGGTTTTTCAGCAGCTCTGTCGTCGCTGGGGGACGCCGGAGGTGGATCTTCTGGCCTCTCGGTTCAACCGGAAGGTGGACAGGTTTGTGGCCCAGGCGGTGGATGCCCTGGTGGCTCCTTGGGGTCATTCCGGTCTGATATGTGCCTTTCCTCCACTGTATCTGTTGCCTCGACTTCTGCGATGTCACTGTCGTCCTCGTGGCCCCGGACTGGCCTCGGAGAGCGTGGTACGCAGACGTGGTTCAGCTAGTGGTGGACACCCTGTGATGGCTGCATCTGTGTCCGGATCTTCTGTCCCAGGTACCTGTGTTCCATCCTTCTTACAGTCGCTGGCTTTGACGGCGTGGCTGTTGAGAGCCAGGTCCTGAAGGACCAGGGGTTGTCCGATGCGGTCATTTCAACTATGCTCAGAGCGCGCAAAGCGATCTCTAGAAAGATTTACCATCGCACGTGGAGGGCCTATTTTGCCAGTGTGTGACTGGGGCCCTGTCCCCGCGTTTGTTCTCCATCAGCAGGATTATTGCGTTCTTGCATCGCGGTGTGGCGCAAGGGCTGGCGTTGAGCACGGTGAAGGGCCAAATTTCTGCCTTGGCTGTGCTTTTCCAGCGCCCTTTGACATCTAATCCTTTTGGTTCGCACTTTTGTTCAGGGGGTGACGCGCATTGCTCCTCCTGTCCGCTCGCCTTTGGCACCGTGGCATCTGGTGTTGCAGGAATCTCCGTTTGAACCTCTTCGGGAGATTCCGCTTATGTCTTTATCTCAAAGGGTGACCTTTTTGGTGGCCATCACTTCCGTTCGGCGGGTGTCGGAGTTGGCTGCCTTGTCCTGCAAGTCTCAGTTGCTGGTGTTGGATAGGGACAAGGCGGTTCTCCATCCTCGCCCGGCTTTCCTGCCTAACGTTGTGTCGGTATTCCATCTGAATGAGGACATTGTCTTACCTTCCCTGTGCCCGCAGCCGGTTCATAGGAAGGAACGTGCTCTCCACTGTTTGGATGTGGTTCGTGCTCTCCGTGTTTATTTGGAAACTACTGCTTGCTCGTGCTCATGCAGGGCCCTCGTAAGGGCCGTGCCGCGTTGGCAGCTACCATCTCTTGGTGGATTCGTAATTTTATTCTTCAGGTGTACGCCGTTAAGGGGTGTGAGCCTCCTTTCCCTGTCACTGCCCATTCTACTAGGGCTGTTGGGGCTTCCTGGGCCTTCCGTCATGGGGCCTCTGTTTCTCAGGTCTGTAAGGCCGCTGCGTGGTCTTCTGTTCACACCTTTAAGTTTTACAAGGTGGATGTTTTGGCATCGGTGGATGCTGGTTTGGGGTGCAAAGTGTTGCAGACGGCTCTTTGAGGGGAGGGGTCTTTTGGCTGTTTGGTTGTTGTTGCCCATCCCTCTGTGTGTACTGCTTGGTGACGTCCCTACCATTCAGGATCTACAATCTGTTGCCCTGTGTGCTTCAATGAACGGAGAGAAAAGGATTTTACGGTGAGTACAAAAATCCTATTTTGCTGTAGCAGGTTCTATACATTGTACAGATTTGCCACTTTACAGGCACTTTTAGGGGACTCCCGAGGCACGATATTTAAAGGAATTTTCCATTTTAATTGTTTCACTTTGAGCAATGTTAACATCACTGCTCCATTAAAAAACTGTATTTTTTCAAAGTGTTTTTTTCATTGATACATGTCCCCCTGGGCAGTACCCGAATCCCCATAACCTATTTATGGCCAATAACTTGCACATAAGCCTTCAAAATGGGGTCCATTGATTTTCAAAGTTCTACCCCCGTAGATTTGCATTGCGTTCGAATTCAAACTTTTTCCATGTTCGAATTCGAACCGAACTTGGGGGTGTTTGGCTCATCACTAATCATGAGCAATAATCATGATCATACATGTTGTGATGGAATATAAATATACTTGGTATACTTTATTGTTTTTTTAGACAAGTGATCAAAAAAACATATAAAGGGAAATAAGGCTGTGCGCATTTATATAGAAAAAATTTTGATGTATATTTACTGTTAATTTAAGATACATCAAACAGTAAAGTACACAGAATAATCCGCCAAATCACTTCAATGCACTCTCTATTTTTCATATCAAAGACTAACTGCACGCAATAACGAACAAAAACTCTTAGGACATAAACAATAGACACACAATAGATGCACGTTCCCGATGTAACCAGGCCTCAATCCTGCATCTGAACAGCATTTATAAACGCCAGCTGCCAGCTGGGAATTTCCGGCAAATGTTTTGGGGATTTGCAACACCTGGGGAGGACAGGGTGGCCTATGCACCACCTGTGTGCTACCACAAAATGTCCACAACTGGCTAAAGGGGAACATACATCAGTATGTTGGCTCTATTATAATGATGCCAGGATAGTCATTCAGCTAATTTGATTGTTGACTCCCCCGGTCAGGTTTTTAGTGAATCAAGTTTTTCATCCTAATATTACAACACAGATTTGTTTATTTCTTACAATTTTAAAATGCATGATGTAATGTTAATAATTTGTAAGCACTTAGGGTCATTTACACACTGTACAGGTATAAAAAGTTTATTGAGAAACAAAGAATGAACAGATCATCAGTGATCAGAGACAAAGTGACTGATTTGAGAGTTTTACTCTACTCTTCTATTTTACCCTAAAGCCAGTGCAAGGAGAAGGCCCTCTGGTTCGCAAGGCAAAGATGCCAAAACGTGCCCCTCCCCACCCTTTTGCAGTTGAAATTAATGGAGCCTGCCTATCTGCGCATACCATGGCCTGGCTGATGCAAGGTATAGAAAGAACAGCCGCTGTCCACCTGCCTTAAGGTTATCACCTTTTTGATTTAAGGAAAGGCAAATGGGGGTGGGAGGTGTTTTGACCAGTGTGACTTTGCAATCTTGACATAATCTGCATGTTAAAATGGAGACAGTTTTTTAATTAATATTATTATAACCAACAGGGTTATTCACAAGGCAGCTGAGTAATAACCGAGCCGAAGTGAAGTGAGGCGGACGCTGTTCGGCTATTCACTTCTGGCTTGTACAGGCTCTTGCTCAAGCAATGCCTTTTCCCCTCAGCATAGCACCTGAGGCAGGAGCATGTCTTGCCTTTACCTCATTCCTGCCCTACTAACAAGTCCAAAGACTTGCTGCATAAAAAACAAACGATAACTACTGTAGCTACTTTAAAATAGGGATTTCCTTTCAAATGGGTGTTAATTTAAAGTGGATTTCTTGGAAAGATGGAGATCCCTTATGACTGTAAGATTTAGTTTGTGTTCTGGAGTCCAACCAGGGAAATACAGTAGTCCCCCCATAAACAAGAATCCAGCACATGTATGTATAAAACCATTTTTATTTTGGCGCTATGAAGCTATAAATCACTTTGAAGCTCTGATAATCATGTTTTGTTTTGTGTTTATTTTTGTGCACATACATGTTCATTGCTGTTAAAGCTATGTAAACTGCTTTTTATATATCTTTGCTAAAATGGTATTGCCTTGCTCCTATTTTCTGCTAACATATTTTCATCTTCATATTTTAATGTGTTTAAAAAGATTGAAAGTGGGGCAGTCTGGAAACAGGTTTACCAGGATCTTGGCATTCCTGTATTAAATTCAGCCGCTGGGTATAATGTCAAATGTGCTTACAAGAAGTAAGTCTAATCCTTAATTTTTCTTTGTGTTTTGCATTAAATACAGAATATTATGGTTGCTTTTATGTCTGTGTTAAATATTTATTATGTGGCATGTTTATAAACCAGTGAATGTGACAACATTTGCTGCGGTTAAATCCTCCAGATACGTGTTTTTAAATGGCAGTGACTGTTTGGCAAAAGTTACATTCACTGCTTTATAAATATGGGAATATTGCAAAGTATTTGTCTATAATTTAAACTTTCATTTCACTAGGTAATGTGTATGTTGAAATGAGTTAAAGCGAAAAAAACTTTATACTCTGGGGAGAGTAGTGAATTTAGTCAAGGCAATTTGGCAGCAGCTTAAAACCTCACAAACTTTCTGTTTTAAAAAGTCAATATATACATTTAATACCAATAAAAATTATAATTAAATTAAAATATATTTTGTGTGGAGCTCATCCCCGAAGAAGCCGCTGGATGAACGGGTCTTCCTTAGCCTGTCTAAGGATTTTATCAACTTGGCTGCCCCAATAGCACTTACCGCCCTCTGTGATGACCTATACAAGTGAGATCCAGACTGTAGATATGATGCTGAAAAAACTTTATTGTAGAATTTCAAGTAGAGAGGGTCAGGGATAGGAACATCCAGGATAGTGTAGACTCTAAGTGTTGGAGCATAGTAATTGCTCCCTCCACAGACTAGTACCTTTAAGACAAATGTAGCAATCTGGGTTTAGAGCACCTAGCTAAGCTGTACTCCCTGTCTGCTGAAGTTACTCCTATTCTGTCATTTTCATCCACAGTATCAGTCACTGGACCCCCAGACTAAGGCCTCAGTGTGATCACATGGCTAGTCCCCTAGGCTTCAGGCCTAGCCAAATCAGACTGTCAGTAGCAGCCTCCCTCCAGATGGGGCCTGGGGGGGAAAGAGAATCTTACAAGGTCTGCCCTGAATATTTGTGTCCTCTGCCAGCATGCACCACTGGCCATGAACCTCCTAGTAACTGGCCAGGGAGACCTATACACTATATTGGAAAAATGTATTGGGACACCCCTCCAAATCATTTGATTCAGGTGTTTCCGTGAAATTTCCTTGATACTAAATATTTCACGGTCAACTGTTGGTGGTGTTATAACAAAGTGGAAGCAACTGGGAACAACAGCAACTCAGCCACAAAGTGGTAGGCCACGTAGAATGACAGAGCGAGGTCAGCGCATGCTGAAGCGCACAGTGCGCAGAAGTCACCAACTATCTGCAGAGTCAATGGCTACAGACCTCGAAACTTTGTGTGGCCTTCAGACTGGCACAACAACAGTGCATAGAGAGCTTCATGGAATGGGTTTCCATTGCCGAGCAGCTGCATCCAAGCCTTACATCAAGTGCAATGCAAAGAGTCTGATGCAGTGGTGTAAAGCATGCCGCCACTGGACTCCAGGGCAGTGGAGACGTATTCTCTGGAGTGACGAATCACGCTTCTCTGTCTGGCAATCCGATGGACGTGTATGGGTTTGGCGGTTGTCAGAAGAGCGGTACTTGCCTGACTGCATTGTGCCAAGTGTAAAGTTTGGTGGAGGGGGGATTATGGTGTGGGGTTGTTTTTCAGGGGCCCCTTAGTCCCACTTAAGGCATCAGCATACCAAGACATTTTGGACAATTTCATGCTCCTAACTTTGTGGGAACAGTTTGGGGATGGCCCCTTCCTGTTCCTACATGACTGTGCACCAGTGCACAAAGCAAGGTCCATAAAGACATGGATGAGCGAGTTTGGGGTGGAGGAACTTGACTGGCCTGCACAGAGTCCTGACCTCAACCTGGTAGAACACCTTTGGGATGAATTAGAGCAGAGCCTGCGAGCTAGGCCTTCTCGTCCAACATCAGTACCTGATCTCACAAATGCGCTTCTGGAAAAATGGTCAAACATTCCCATAGACACACTCCTAAACCTTGTGGACACCCTTCCCAGAAGAGTTGAAGCTGTTATAGCTGCAAAGGGTTCACCAATTCAATATTGAACATTACGGACTAAGACTGGGATGCCATTAAAGTTCATGTGTGTGTAAAGGCAGGCGTCCCAATTCTTTTGGCAATATAGTGTATACTCATAACCTACCTGGGCACACCCTAATCACCCCCAGGCAGGACAGGATTACCATTTACATATCAATGGATGGCATTATTCACATATGAATATGCAGTGATTCATTCATATGTAAATAGTGCTGTTAATTCATATGCAAATTATGCCCAATCCCCTCCATTGTAGAAGGTGGTACAGTCTGGGATTCTAGCAGTGTCTCAGAGCAGAAAAGGTATTTTAGCTTGTTGTCTTCTTGTATCTGCATTTTATCTGTCAGTGTGTGTGGCTGTCAGCCTCTGTAGATCTATACATATTGTATAGGTCTCATGCCTTTTTGCAGCTCTCCAATTTAATTCACTTCGAATGAGACCCCTGGCTGCTTTTGCTTATACAGTTTTACAGCTAAAATTTCTGGAAAAGGCCTCGTTTTAGATATAAAATATTGTAAGCTGAGATGTGTTTTATATTTAATTTCAAGAGGAGTTGCAGGGAAAAAGTAAAAAAAAAAAAAAAAATCAACTGTAATCCAGAAAATATTGCATCTATGCTAATTCAGAGTTTGTTATAACTCCAGTGCACTGGCCACACTGAGCTCAGCTCCAGACAACTTCAGCCAGCAGCAGCTACTAGTAGTTTTCGGCACTGAACTTGAGTTGAAAAATGCAGTGCTAGGTTCTCCAATAAAGTGACTAGACTCGTGACTCATCAGTGAAGGCGAGACAAAAGCCAGGTTTCGCTCTGATCAGGGCTCTCTGCAGGGATAGAGCGAGAAGTGAGCGAGCGACGCTATGTGTTCGCTCACTTCCCGATCTATTGAGCCGACCTGTGACAGTTTCATTGTCGCAGGTCGGCTAGAACTATGAGGCCGAGTGATTTTCACTCGCCTCATAATTCTCATTTAAGTAAAGCTACTGTAACTGTAGAAGACTTATTTACTTATGGATGTGTATTCAGTTGCTATGTTGAATGGAAAATGATAGGAATGTGAACACTTTAATTGCTAATGCGTTAAAGTGTAAGGCCTGGTTCACACCTGGGCGTTTTGTAGCGCGTTTGAACGCTCTGCAAAACGCTCAAACACCGAAATCCCATTGTTTCCTATGGGTATGGTTCACACCAGGGCGTATTTTAGCCCGTCTGAACGTGCTACAAAACGGCCTACGCCCAAAGAAGTACAGGAGCTTCTTTGGGGCGTTTTTGTCGCGCGTATCCATTAGGATACAGCCATGTAGCCCTCGGAAACGCGCGACAAACAAATTGCGGTAAAAACGCGCGACAAACGCGCATATTCGATACGCCTAGGTGTGAACCCAGCTTTAAAGCCACTTGTTCAAAATAATATTCATGCAACTAACATTCACAAAGGGGCCATACACTGCAGCTCCTATATTTGCTTATGTGACAAGCTTACTTTATTTATTACCCCCATTTTATAGGTATTTGTATGGCTTTGAAGAATACTGTTCTTCCACCAATATTTGTTTCCACATGGACCTGCCGAAGAAAGTTGCAAAATCAAGTAAAGATATGAATCTTGAAAATAAAGATTTCATAAAACAACAAACCAAAAGTGATGGCAATATTAAGGAAGATAGTAATGCTAAGAATGACTATTGTGTTAACAAAGATACTTCTGTTTTAAATGAAGAGGTCCAGAACTTGGTAAGTACTATAAATATTTATTGATCAAATAAGTTTCAGAACAATTAGTAAGCCATGTACATGTTCCACTCTACTAGGATGTTAATTTTAGGCATTTCCATCACACAGCATTGATAGAGAAGCCACATTTGTTCATATTTTGTTTGATGCTTTTTGAATATACCAGCTTGTAGAACTAAAAGCCTGTTGGTAACCTTTTAATTTTCTCTCCCATTCATTTGAAGGACACAGGGCAACAGATCGTAGATCCTGAATGGTTGGGTATATCGCCACCTGCAGGAGTAGGACGCTAGGCACATAACAAAAAGACAAGACAGCCTAGGGGCGGCCCCTGCTGGTGGCCCAACCCCTCACTTGCTGACAAGTCTCCAGTTTTTTGCCTAGCGTCAGGAGTAAGGAGCTAAAAAAAAATTTCTGGGGATTTTTTTCTTTTCCTCCATTTTTCTCGCTGTTTCTTCAAGCAAGGGCGACACGCTGGATGTTTTAGATCCTGGTAGCCTCTCCTGCGTGACCGACGAGCACATGCAGGCTCTGCCACGGTGGGTCGGGTGCGACTTTTGGTTCCTCTCGACGCCTATGGGTTCGTCCTGGTGGGGTGCATATGACAGGAGGTCCTGGCCTACCTGTCACAGCACTCCGCACAGGCTGGCGGCGCCGCGACTGCGGTCGGGGGTGTTGTGTCCACCGCTCCCCTGCTCGTCCTGGCTGTGGATCCTCGCAGGGCCTGGAGTCTGACCGTTTCCCAGAGGGGGTATGTATGTGGTGGTGGTGACTGTCGAGGGGATCGTGACATCTTCAGGTGGTAAGATGCTGTGCTGGGGCTGCGCTGTTTCTGTCACAGCTGCATCCCCTGGCTGCCTGTTCCCCCCTCTCCCCTCCCTCCTACCTCGTGGTGGAGGGAGAGGCCCTGGTCTGATTGCGGCCTCCAGGCGGCTCCACGGCCGCCATGTTGGATGTGGGCAGGTGCCCTCCCTGGCTTGTGGCTGCTCAGACTTTGGCCCCTGGCTGGCGGGGGCTTCTGTGGGGCTTCCTCTGGTGGTCTTGGGCTCTGGGGGAGCTATGTGGCCGTTTTTTGCAGGGTCGGCCGCATCCGCTACTCGAGGCCCCAGTCTGGTTGCGGCCCCCAGGCACTCCGCGGCCGCCATCCTGGATTTGGGCAAGTGCCCTTTCTCGCATGTCACTTCCGCCCGGGCTTCCTCTAGGCCTCGGGCGGGTGGGGAGTGTCTTCCTTTCGGCCTGGGACGCCGCAGAGGACAGACACACGGGTACAGCTCTCCTCCACCTTGCAGAGTCGGCGCTGGTGCTGGGCTGAGACAGTGACCTGGGGGTTGTGAGTACTGTGGGGTCTCTATCTCTCTCTTGCTGTGGTGGTCTCCGGTCTGTGTAGTGGTCTGTGGGATATGGATCGCAGGGTTGACTCCTCTGCATTGCCTTGTGAGGGCTGGGGGCCTCTAGGTCCCCTCTTTGTGCGGCCTGTGCGCCTTTGCCAGTCACCGGTGCACCCCTCAGGTTCCCCGGGGGGGGTGGTCGGTACTGTCCTTGGAGGTCTTTTCCTCTGCCATGGATAGGTTTGTGACGCGCTTTGAGCGTGCCTTGACGCAACGCCCGCCTAGGAAACGGGCTTTGCCAGTCCCGTCCCCTGTCCTGTCGGGGGAGTCCGAGGAGGAAGGGGAACTTCCCACGACGTCACCGCGCCCTGATCCTGGTGATTCCTCGCAGCCTGATTCGGCCAGTGAGGATGAGGCCGCGTCTACGCTCCTGGTTCAGGAACGTGAAACGGTTTCTGCGCTTGTCCGCGCGGTCAGGGAGACCCTTAAAATTGTGGATGCTACTAGCTCTTCCGCGCTGCCGCCAGTGCAGTTTGGGACGCATAAGAGTTGCCGTTCTGCCAAGTGTTTCCTTACATTCCCTTTTTCAATTACTTTATTTATAAGGAGTGGAAGCGGCCTACCAAGTCTTTTGCGGTTCCTACTCGGTTCGCTATCCCTTTGAGGAGTCCTTTGTGTCTAAATGGTCTTCTCCGCCGGCGGTGGACCCCCCGGTCTCTCCCTTAAACAAGGCCACGGTAATCCCAGTGGAGGATTCCCCGTCCTTCAAGGACCCCACAGATAGGAAAGCTGAGGCGCTTTCGTGGACTCTGTACTCCGTCTCGGGGGCGCCTGCCTTAGTCTCTCAGACTCTGACGGAGTGGGCTAAGATGTTGCACCAGGGTCTTGCGGAAGAGAATGTCTCTCCCGCGTACGTGAAATTGGCGGACCAGTTGGTGCAAGGCCTTAGGTATGTCTGCAATTCGGCCTTGGATGCGGCACCTTTGGTGTCTAAGCTGTCGGTGTCGGCGGTGACGCTTCACCGGTTGCTTTGGCTTAAGTGCTGGTCGGCTGATCAGGCTTCGAAGAAGGCTTTGACAGACTTACCCTTTACTAGGGACTGTCTGGTTCCACCTTAGATGAGATCATTGAGGATCCGACGGGTGGTAAGTGTTCCTTTCTTCCCCAGGCGCACAAGAAGGAGCAGCGCCGAAAACCTGGGCCCACTTTCTTTGCTCACAAGCAGCTTTTTCCCTCCCTGGGCGGAGGCAGTGGATGCCCTGGTGGCTGCTTGGGGTCATTACGGTCTAATTTACGCCTTTGCCCCTCTGTATCTACTGCTTCAGATTGCGGCCGAGGGCGTCATCCTCGTGGCCCCAGACTGGCCTCGGAGGGTGTGGTACGCGGACGTGGTTCAGCTGGTGGTGGACGCCCCGTGGCGTCTGCCTCTGCGCCCCGATCTTCTGTCCCAGGGACCTGTGTTCCATCCTTCTTTACAGTTGCTGGCTTTGACGGCGTGGCTGTTGAGAGCCAGGTCCTGAAGGACCGGGGGTTGTCTGAGGCGGTCATTTCCATAGGCTCAGCATAGGCTCAGGGCACACAAAGCGGTTTCTAGGAAAATTTACCATTGCACTTGGAGGGCCTATTTTACCTGGTGTGAGGCTGGGGCCCTGTCCCCGCGTTTATTCTCCATCAGCATAATCCTTACATTCCTGCAGCGCGGGGTGGCTCAGGGGCTGGCCTTGAGTACTGTGAAGGGCCAAATCTCTGCCTTGGCAGTGCTTTTCCAGCGGCCTTTGGCGTCTAATGCTTTGGTTCGCACTTTTGTTCAGGGGGTGACTCGCATTGCTCCCCCTGTCCGCTCGCCTTTGGCTCCGTGGGATCTGAATCTCGTGCTTTCAGTGTTGCAGGAATCCCTGTTTGAACCTCTTCGGGAGATTACGCTTATGTCTCAGGTTTGTAAGGCCGCTACTTGGTCTTCTGTTCACACCTTTGTTAAGTTTTACAAGCTGGACGTGTTAGCATCGGCGGATGCTGGTTTGGGGCGCAAAGTGTTGAAGGCGGCTGTTTGAGGTGTCGTTTGGTTGTTGTTGCCCATCCCTCAGTGTGTACTGCTTGGTGACGTCCCTACCATTCAGGATCTACGATCTGTTGCCCTGTGTCCTTCAATGAACGGGAGAGAAAATAGGATTTTTGTTCTCACCGTAAAATCCTTTTCTCTCCGTTCATTGAAGGACACAGGTCCCGCCCTCTTTTATGGTGTGTATACTCCTAACTGCTTGTTACTTACTGGAGACTTGTCAGCAAGTGAGGGGTTGGGCCACCAGCAGGGGCCGCCCCTAGGCTGTCTTGTCTTTTTGTTATGTGCCTAGCGTCCTACTCCTGCAGGTGGCGATATACCCAACCATTCAGGATCCTATTTTGTGGACAATTTAAATTGGAACACAATCATTTAAAAAAAACAAAAACACTTTTTTTTGTTTATCTAGACTTATACTGTATATTCAGATAGTTCTAGTTGCCATGTATCTTAAACCCTCAGGACATATCTTTAATCTGGTGGATTTTTGGATTTTTCAATAAACACATTTTATTTATTATTATTATATTACATTTCTGTTGATTGCCTCCCATCATATAAATGTATATGATGGGAGGCAGTCTATGCAGGAGAGAAATGCAGAGGGTACGATAACAGGTAGCACAGTTTTTAACCTTTGACTCACTAAGAGTGGTTACATATACAGGTGAAACTCGAATAATTAGAATATCGTGCAAAAGTTCATTTATTTCACTATTGCAACTTAAAAGGTGAAACTAATATATGAGATAGACTCATTACATGCAAAGCAAGATAGTTCAAGCCGTGATTTGTCATAATTGTGATGATTATGGCTTACAGCTCATGAAAACCCCAAATCCACAATCTCAGAAAATTAGAATATTACATGCAATCAATAAAACAAGGATTGCACATAGAACAATATCGGACCTCTGAAAATTATAAGCATGTAGCATGGCCCCTTGTGCAGCAATTACTGCCTCAATGCGGCGTGGCATGGAAGCTATCAGCCTGTGGCACTGCCTAGGTGTTATGGAAGACCAGGATGCTTCAATAGCGGCCTTCAGCTCTTCTGCATTGTTCGGTCTCATGTCTCTCATCTTTCTCTTGGCAATGCCCCATAGATTCTCTATGGGGACATCACAATTATGACAAATCACATCTTAAACTATCTTGCTTTGCATGTAATGAGTCTATCTCATATATTAGTTTCACCTTTTAAGTTGCATTAGTGAAATAAATGAACTTTTGCACGATATTCTAATTATTCGAGTTGCACCTGTATTTTAAAAATAAGTAACAAAATTGCTAAAACATGTGTTCATAGTGATGACAGGGAAGTACGCCTCATAATGCACTTGGCGCCCATTTACCAAAATGACAATATGAACCAGCAGTATGTAAGCCATGCATAGAGGTACTTAGAGAGGATGATAAAAGGTCAAAATCAAAACCCAGTTTTACTGAAAGTAAAGCAGGCTGTTCTAGGACATGTGGCAGGTAATATATTAGCAACACTGTGGACTGTGAAGATGGTGCAGAGGACCGTTCAACAGGAGCAGTGTGTCAGTGAAACTGGTTGAAAAGGAGACACATAAAGTCCAAGAACAGTGGTGGTGGCAATGAGGACA